ACCACTTGGTCCAGTTGCACTGTGGCTGGCAGTGGGTGGTCCCTGGGAAAGAAGTCACCACAGAAGGAGACCCAGGGCCTGTGGTGCTGGTAGGAGCAGAGGTGGCTCCGGTTCCAGGAACAGAGATGGTACTGGTTTTTCCTATGAATGTCGTGCTGGCTGTTGGCTCAGAGGTGGTGCTGGTGCTCCTGGTGAACATGGTGCTGGCTGGATATCCAGAGGTGGTGATGGATTTTCCTATAGGTGTTGCTCTGGTTTGGGACAAGGAGGTGGTGCTGGATGGCTGGCCAGAAGTTGGTTTGGATTCAGGAATAGATGTGGTGCTGGCTGTCTGCACAGAGGTGGTTCTAATGTCCCTGGTGTACATGGTGCTGGCTGGCTGCTCAGATGTGGTACTGGATTTTTCTATAGAGGCTGAGCTGGTCTGGGTTTTGAGGGTGGTAATCAATTTTTCTCTAGAGGGTGAGCTTGTTTGGGGTATGTAGCTGGTGCTGGCTGGCTGTCCAGATGTGGTGCTGGATTTTCCTATAGGTGTTGTTCTGGTTTGGGGTTTGGAGGTGGTGCTAACTGGCTGCCCAGAAGTTGGTCTGTGTTTAGGCATGGATGTGGTGCTGGCTGTCTGCACAGAGGTGGTGCTGGTGCCCCTGGTGGACACTGTGCTGGCTGTCTGCACAGAGGTGGTTCTGGTGTCCCTGGTGGACACTGTGCTGGCTGGCTGCACAGAGGCTGAGCTGGTTTGGGGTGTGGAGGTGGTGCTGGTTGTCTGCACAACGGTTGTCCTGGTTCGGGGCGTGGACGTACTGATTGCTGCATGCACAGAAGTGGTGACAGGAGCCGAGCTGGGGACAGTCTCACCTGAGGTGCTGGAAAGAGTGGCAGGTGAGGTCCCAGGGCAGCCTTCAGGAATGCGGCAGCACAGCACTCGCACCTCATAGTTGAGGCACATCCCAGAGATGTCCTTCTGGTCCCGGTTCCTGCACACCAGGCCCACAGTGGGGTCACACTGCACCACCTGACCCAGATCCTCCACCCTCATCTCAGGGTGGTTCTCAGCCCTGCATTCCAGCTGTGTGATCTCCTCTGGCCGGTGGCAGATCCTCTCTCCCCTCCTCAGGATGTTGCTGTAGGTTTCCAGGTCCCCTCCATGTGGACCAGGCACTGGGAAGTCAGTGTCGAACCACTTGGTCCAGTTGCACTGTGGCTGGCAGTGGGTGGTCCCTGGTTGAGTGATTGTGTGTGGACTGTTTGTGGCCCAGGTCTCTGTGTGTATTGTTGCTGAGTGAGTACTGGTGCCCTTGGTGGAAGAGGAATGCAAGGTTGTGGTCCAGTTGGTCTTTGTTTTTGTGCTTATTTCTCGTGAGGTCGGAAGTGTGGTAGCCGAAGCTGTGGAACACAGGTCCACTACCTTACAGCATTCTATCCGGATCTCATAGTTATAACAAATGGGTGGCAGCTGGTTTTTGTTCAAACAGATCAACCCTTCCTCTCGGTTACAGATTACATCCTGACCCAGCTCCTCCAGTGGAGTGTTGGGAAAGAACTGAGCCCTACACTCCACATTGCGCGGCTTCTCACAGAACTTGTAGCCTTTGGATCTCAGGTTTTTGAAAGTGTCAAAATCACCACTGTTTCTGTCAGGCCTAGGGTAGCTGCCATCTATCCAATCAGTCCAACTGCAAAGCTCCTGTGTGCATTCATGGGTAGTCTGGAAAGAGGCTGTGGTGGACCCTGTGCTTGGGATGGACACAGACGATGTGGCTGAGGTTGGCTGTGGCATTGGGCTAGTAGTGGACAGATTTACTTTAATGGCGGTAGAACTAACTGGGCCAAGGGTAGTTGGACTTGGAGCTGATGAAAAGGGAGGTGAGGAAGAGGGGAAAGGACCTGGAGCATGGGTAGAGCGACCTGAGATAACTGTGCTCTCTGTGTGGGCAGTTGAGGTGACAGGGATTAAGGAGGTCGTGGTCCCCATTGTAGCTGTCCTGGAGGTTATCAAATGGGTGGTCTGGGTAGGACCACTGGAGGTTGGACAGCTGATGGGGGTACAGCACTGAATTCTGATCTGGTAGTTGTCACAGAGCCTTGACACCTGATCCCGGTTGTGACAGGTCAACCCTACAGTTGTACTGCACTCCACCTGCTGCCCCAGCACATGAAGCGGCACCTCAGGGGTGTCCTCAGCACGGCACTCCACTGCCCTTGGTGCTTGGCAGATCTGGTAGCCATGGGCACGGAGGTTCTCCAGAGTCTCAAAGTCACCACTGTCAATGCCACGTCCAGGATGGCTGACATCCATCCAGGGAGACCAGTGGCACTCCTGGCAGCCTGGTGTGGTTGAGGTGGAGGCCATAGTAGATGCAGTCGAGGCAGTGGCAGGGGTCTTCACTGACGACATGCTGCTGGTTGTTGACACAGCCCTGCTTGGGGTCCCTGTGTATACCACACTCAGGGTAGGGCTGGGATGTGTGCTGGAGGGTGGCATTGAGGTCATGACTGTGGACAAAGGTAACAGGAGTGGACATTTGGGCCTTGGTGCTGTCTGTCTGGTCCCTGGTCACACCCTCCCTCCTCATACATCAGCTGCCTTGGGTCTCACCACCATGGTCATACTAACTTTGAAAACTGAATATCAGAGCCACATCACTTAGCCTGTCTTCTCAGAACCTACCTCTTGGTGGACAGAAGTAGAGTATATTGGGCCCACAAACAGACAAATTAATCTCCTCTAAAGGCCATGCCCTGAGCAGAATCTATATACCTATACCTCTCAAAAGTAGCTTGGGGTGGGGGAACTCTGACAAACCCCAAACAGGGATATATAGTGATCCATGTAATCTAAGGCAAACAGGCAGCTATGAATTCTGGGAAAATCTTATGTTCATCCAAATACTGGCCTGGGGCCACTTGTGCTTAGGGCCTGTAAGCTAAGGCACACACTCCCTTGAGATCGGGTCCAGTAGCTACAGAAAGTGGTGCCATAGACACCAGGCCTTCCAGAGTGGGTCAGGGAGATTGATCCTTCCTGCTGTGAGATAAAAGCAGGGTACCCATGGTCCAGATACCCAACTCCTGGGCCCTTTCTTGAGCCTCGGGGCCTGACACCAATACCCAGAGCTAGCCATTACCTAAAATTCTGCAAGAGAAGCAGTACCAATCAGCAGGAAGAGAGACACCCCAACTAAGCCTAACGTTTTCTGCCACCAGTCACGTCTGCCTTACCAACTGGTGTGGAGAAGGAGAAAGTAGTCGGGGGTGTGGAGGTGGTGGAGCTGCAATCTTCAATGGTCCTTTCGATGGTGCCGTTGGCCCTGCAGTGTGCAGAGATGCAGCCTCCCGTGCCATCTGTCGTGTGGTAGATGATTTCCCCAGGATGGAAGTGTTGCCCATTGTAGGTACAGACACAGGCTGTGGGAAATAGACGTTTAGCCAGTCAGGGGGATGCTAAGACAGTGACTTCCCCCGCCCTGTCTCCAGATCAGAGAAAGCTGCAGGTGCTCACCACCAGCATCATGGGCACAGCTCACACCGTTCTCCGTGCAGATGCTGTCAAGAGAAGGAAGAAGTGGGACTGAGTGCGTGGGAATGGGAACTGCCTGCACCCAGTGTGCTTAGCGTTGGTGATGAAACAGCTCCATTACAGCCCAAGCTGCACGCTGCGGTCCAGACCCGGTCCTAACCTTCAGCCTTTCAGGATCTGCTCCACTTAGGTCACACTCTCTCAAACATCTTCCCCCCCCCCCCCGACCTCATCAATAACCAATGGAGACAGGTGGACTTTGATGGACATCATCCCCTCGTCCCTGGGAGGATATCTTGACTGAGGACACCATCCCATTCACACACAGCTGGATTTTAGGTCAAGGAAGTCCTCCCTTTCACATGAGCCTTAGGCCAAAGGCATCCTTCCTCTCAGCTGAGTCTCGGGCTGAGGTTTGTCCTCTCCTCATCTGAACCCCAGGCCAAGGGCACCCTCCCTCCAAGCTCAGCCACAAGCCAAGGGTGCTGTCCTTCCTCTCAATGGAGCCTAAGAAGAGTGTTGTCCCTCCTAGCTGAAGTTCAGGCCACTGGGGTTCTGGCAGGTGTGTATGCAAGGGACCCCCTAGGGCTGGAGCTGTCCCTTGTTCCCCTCGGCTCCACCTTGGGCTGAGGGTGCTTCTAGACCCCAGATTGATGCTGTGCTTAGATTCACCATGGCGTTCCAGGTTCTACATCACTCTGGCTGAATGACTTACCAGGAATAGCAGTTCTTGTCTGAAGGCACTGTCGCACCTGGTCGGTACAACTTTCCGTTGACGCGGCAGGGACGAGGTGGTGGAGGCGAAGGGGTGACTGTACAGTTGCGTACACACTGCATCATGCCCTCATCAAAGATGGGGGCTGTTGGTGGGCACTTGGGGTAGCAGCCTGTGGACCAAGAGACCTGTGTCCCAGAGAGTCTCCCCCCATTCCCCATCCCCCATCCCCCCAAGCCCTCTCACACCAGGGCCCTGGTCAGTCCCCAGTGCCTAGCCTCATCCACACTAGTGTTTGAGGTTGAAGCTATACAGACTCCTGATGGAATCAGGAAGAATTCGTCCCAACCAAGTATCCCATAAGAAGACCCCAGGGCTTGGATTCCAGGATAGACCCCAGTCAAGATCCTAGGAACCCAACAGACCCTGCCCCTCTAAGTTCAGCCTTCAGCCTACCTTCAAGGCCGGGAAGATCATGTAGGCAGTGTCCATTAGGGTTCTGGCAGGTGCGCATGCAGGGAGCCCCACATGGCTGGTAGTGCCACTCACACTGACCCTCTGGGTTGTAGTAGTCACAGAATAGCGCTGGAAAGCAGGGAGATTTGCTGACACCTAGGGTCTTCTAAACCATTTCCCCACCCCACCCTGAGAGAAGGTGGCTCAGATAAGGGTTTTGGGCTGATCGGGGTGCCAGAGAGGCAAGCATCAAATGGGACTCTGCAGCTACAGCAGCTGCCCCCAGCCACAGGCCTCCCTGGAGGCTTCACATAGACTGCCTAAGAAGGCGGACTGATGCCTCCAGTGTAGAACATTTTCTGAGGCCAGGCTTCCTCCTACAGATGCTCACCCTCATTTCTGTTTTTCTTAGGAAACTATCGGCCCTTCAATGCTTCCTGATGGACATGCAGAGCTGGGCTCTCCTGCCTGGAACCATAGTCCCTCCCAGGGTACTCAGCAGACATCCTAGCTCAGCCCCTGCAGTCCCCAGCCCTTGGAGCTACCCCTGTTACAGCCACCTGTTGAGTGGCCCAGTATTTATGCACATGCATGTGCAGGACACACACAGATGGACACACACATTGGAGGTGTGTGTGTGCATGTGTGTCTGTGTGTCTGTGCACGCGTGCGCACAGGGTAGGCTATCACCCACCCATCCCCAGTTCCACCCTTCAGCAACACGAAGCCCCACTCACGGCAGATGTCTGGTGTCCTCCAAGACACACACACTCCCACTTCATGGCAGGCCTGGGCATAGGCAGCCACGGCAGTGCAGAAACACTCGCAGTCACCCCCTGAGTCACAGGCACACGCGTCACTCACACAGGCTTCATAGTACTTGGCGGGCTCCACCTGAAAGAGACCAAGGCTTCAGGCTCTGGGGACTCCTGTCCCCCTCCACTCTTAGTGCATACACTGGTCTAATAATTTGGGCTAGTTTCTACTGGTGTTCATAGTGACAAATATATGACCATGAATGTCCCGCCAGTATATCATGGTGTCCATAGGCTGGCTCTAATCATAGAGCTGCCTGAAGCTTCCTCAGCCCATGTTCAGAATTAACAGCCTCCAAACCATAGCCCATTCTGGAGTACACATGTGAGTTCCCAATCCCGAGACACCCACACCCTTGGCTGATGGTTTCTCTGTCCTAAAGTTCAGAGACCACACAGTCCCACCGTCGTACATGGGCATGGCAGGCAGTGAAGGTCTCACTGTTGATGATGCTGCATTGCTTTTGGGCCCAGGACTTGCGATAAGGGTTGGCAGTGCAGGGGTCCTTGGACACCACGGCATCTGGGCAGGATGGCGAGAACTTCCAGCTGTTTCCAAACTCCAGCATGTCGCTGACCACAGACTGGCTGCGCGTGGTGAAGTCATTGATGGCATTGTCGTCAAAATTCCCACACAGGCCACAGACCCTGCCCTATAGAAGCACAGAGATTAGCGATATGGACCTGAGCCCCCTTCCTGAACCCTGATATCTGTTCTGCTCTATTACCATGCAACTTCCTGATGGATGCACCCAGGAAGAAGAGCAAGTGTGAGTTTAGAAGGCCCTTTGTTGTCCAGTGGTGGTGCAAGGCACTTGTGGCCATCTGTGTCTGTCCCCAAGCATGACCCCTGCCCATGACATCCCAGGAGGTCTGTGAGTTCCCCAGCTGGACAGCCCAGGAAACCTCATTCTCGGTTCTTCCCATAAGGCTGTTTTGTCCCTCTTCCCTCCACTCCTACCCCCGGGCCAGTTCTCAGTCCCTTTGCAGGGTGAGCATGGAGCCGTGACATTCAGCTTAGAGTCTGCCTTGAATAGCAGTCCAAAATAGCAGCTGTGAGCTGGACAGTGGCCCCACACTTGTCCTTTTCTAACCCTGGGGCTTGTGAATGGGGCCTTCTTAGAAATAGAATCTTTAAAGGTATAGTCAAGTGAGATGAGGTCTCACTAAGGCAAGAGTGAGTCCTGTCTCCTGTCTAGTGTCCTTACTAAAGAGAAGAATACAGACAGAGCTACACACAGTCAACCAGGTGACAACAGAGATAGAGACCAGGATGATGAAGCCACAATCCGGGGATACCTGGAGCCCCAGAGGCTAAAGAGGCCAGAAAGACCCTCCTAAGTCTCCAGAGAGGTTGCAGCCCTACTAACACATCATCTGGGCTCTCAGGGTCCAGATACAAAAGAGAACTGGCCACCCAGTTTGTGGTCATTTGTTACAAAACTCCAAGACACACACAGCAAGGAACCTCCTCAGTGCTCTTCTAAAGGTCCTTCCCATCCATCCCCTCCCCATCTCAACAAATTATTATATTAATTTACTGTGTGTGTGTATATGAGGGGTGCACGTGCCACAGAGCTCTTGTGAAGGTCCAAGGACAACTTGTGGTAGTCAGCTCTGCTACCATGTGGGCCCTGGGGACTGAACCTCAAGTCTGAGGTCATAAGGCTTGTCAACAACTGAGCCATCTCCCTGGCTCCTCTTTCTCTGTCTCTCTGTGTGTGTGTCTTAATCTCTTCGCTCTTCCTGTCCATCTCTGGCTATCTCTGTCTCTCTGCCTCTCTGTCTGTCTCTCTGTCTCTCTGTCTCTGTCTCTGTCTGTATCTCTGTCTCTCTCTCTTTCTTCTCTGTTTCTCTCTCTGTCTCTCTGTCTCTCTCGCTCTCTCTCTCGCTCTCTCACTCTCTCTCGCTCACTCTCGCTCTGTGTGTGTTTCTGTCTCTCTCTGTTCATGCCCCCAGCCCCTGAGAGGGGTAACAGCAATGCTTCCCTGTCTCAGTCTCACCTTGAACTCAGGGCTGAGTCTGAGAAAGATGCTGGTCTTCCTGTCCCACAGAAGCACCAGGCCAACGTCAGTTTCCACCACCAGGTAGATGCCCATCTGGTGGACATAGTAGGGGGGCTCCTGCCCCACGCCCTTCTGGACCACCTCCACCTTGCCGTCACTCAGCTTCAGTTCATAGTTCTGTGCGACAAAGCATCCTCAGGGCCTAGCCAGGACCACACCCCTGCCTGTGTGCTCCTGCACCACTGCGGAGCCCCCGGGCTGTTCTGCCAGCTCCATTCCACTCACCCCCAGGAAGATCTTGATGTCCTTGGAGCAGGTGGTCCCTGTGGTACCACAGGGGATGTTCTCAGTGACAACACGAAAGGCATCCTGGGAGCTGCCATTCCCACCACAGTGGTCCTAGAGGAACAGAAGGCCGTTAGGGGACAGGGAAGGGATGTGAGTACCTGGGGCTATGGGTGGCCACAGGTGAGGCTGGCAGCCAGACATACCTGCAGCAGTGTGTACTCGCAGTTCCCACTGAAGCTGTAGCGCTGCCCATCGAAAGTGAGGTAGTGGCCATCCCCATACACAGCACAGGTGGCCAGGCAGGGCTTGTCGGTACACCGCCACATCCTGTTCTCACAGGTGCTGCATAGAAGAAGGTGGAGGTCAGCTGAGGGCTCCCACAGGAATGAGGACCTTCCCAGAGGCTCTGTGGGGACCCCTTATAGGAAACGGAAACACAGAGCCCAGATGCCTTGATAGTCTGGGGTGTGCACGTCCATCAGAGGCCATGCTGGAGCTTAGTCCATGCCTAATAAGGACCTTTGTACCTAGTGACAGCTTGGATACCCACCTCCCCTGCCCTCACATACCAGTTGTTGCAGCCCACTCGGATGGTCTCCCCAGGCCTGTAAGTAGCCTCGTTGTGCACACAAGGACAGTCCTCAGCAACAACACAGCCTCCATTACCATCTGCCACCAACCCATGTGGGCACACACAGCCAGGCACACATTCGGAGCTGTACTGTAGGACATATGGACAAGGTAAGTGAGACTGGATGTAGATGGATGTCTGGGGCTGGCATGGCTACTTGGTCTGCAGGACTACAGCTGCCATGGGAGCAGGAAGCCCAGCAGCAGGTAAGCAGGGATGCTCTGGGAACACAGCCCAGCCAGGCTGCCCTGAAGGCCCTCAGCATTGGAGAGCCCTGCTGCTCTGCACCAAGAGCCGCCATGAAGAAGCCTGATGGTCTCCACAGACACCATAGCAGGACAGGTCAAGGAAGTAAGGGGGTCACCAAGAAGGTCCTAGGGAGGGTTCTTCAGGAGTGGTCACTTACACAAGTCATGTCCAAGGTGTGACAGCTCTTCTGACAGCCAGCTCCAGTGTCCCCAGGTGTGGCATTGCGGCAGTCAAAATAGATCATGGGTGCATCACACACTAGAGAGGGAAGGGGGCCAGTGAGGTGATGCCATCCACCCCTGCCAAGCCTTCTCAGAGAGAGGCCAGTGCTGTAACATCTCAGCCTTTTGTTTCCAGACAGCCAAGCATGTGGCTGCCCTGTGGCGGGTGCAAGGTGCACATCTGTGTTATACGTGCTGGAGTGTATGTGAGTGAGTGAGAGTGTGTGTATGTGTGTGTGTGTGTGTGTGTGTGTGTGTGTGTGTGTTGAGAGTGCACTGAGTGCTTTCACGATTATGTGTGTCCACACCCTCATCTCCCCTGTTCCAAAGCCCAAGGCACAGACTACACCAGACACAGTGAAACTGATCATTAACTCCAGCTCTGTTCACTTGGGATGGGCATCAACCCCGACATGTCTTTGGAAGTATTCTCCCAGAGTTGACGGACTCCCTCACAGGCTCACCTGGAGTCGGAGCAGGACCTCCGATGCAGGTCAAGGTTCCTTGGGTGCAGGTGCTGTGAATAGAGGGCTGTTAGCACATCACCCACTCTGGGCCCCGTGAGTCCCTGCCATGTCCTCCTTGTCTGCATAACTACAGGGTGCATGGGAGCAGGGTGACCAGGGGTCCTCTGCGAAGACAGTCTGCCAGACCTAAGGGTCTTACCAGATGGCCCCACTGTCATGGACTGACTCGCCATTGGGAACCATGGATCCCCTGTGGTAGCAGGGACAGCTGGTGGCCTGCACGCATTTGCCTGAGTCATCCAAGAAGGTGCCTGCAGGGCAGGTGCAACCATCTACAGGGATGAAGTTGACGTGGCAGGTGACATCTTCCTCATTCAGAGAATGACAGGTGGGCTGGCAGGTGCTGATGTGGTAGTGGTAGGTCATCGACTTGGGGCAGGTCGTTGTAGGCTTTGCTGTGGGGGAGCAGAAGGAGGGGGGACACTGAGGACACTGGTGGACACACAGCCTGGCAATCAACAACAGAAGACCTAGCAGTTCAAGGCCTTTCCAGCTCCCCCAGACACTGTCTCCTGATTAGGGCTCTTGGTTGCAATGGCATGGATCTCCCTTAGTTTCAGAGACTGGTGTGGTGATAGGACCCTTGGAGCATCCAATCAGCTGCTAGGCAATAGGTGGGGCCCTGATCTGTAGAGAAAGAGAGCCCAGCTTGCCCACAGAACACTCACTGCAGACGCCGTCCCTCCAGCCACTGAGCAGCACGCCTTTGGCGGCACAGGCACGCACGTAGGAGGACAGGGCCGCGCACATGCAGTCCTCACTCTTCTCACAGTTGCACGTGTCAAACATGCAGTTCTGGGGGTGGGGACATCAGAGCATCAGGGACCCAGCATCAGGGATCCAGTCTGGTAGCCTGGCATCTGACTGAGTGCCCCTGCCATCCCAACATATTCCCACCTTCCTTGCCTTCCTCAGGACACTTCCCCATCCCCCATCCCTCTGTAGTTCATATGAATGTTGACGACTCGCATGCAGCCAACCTTCCCTCTAGGACATGGATTCTGGAAAGACCTTGTCCCTTTATCTCTGTGGCCCACCAGATCCAGCCCTGCAACACTGTGTCTTTCTCACTGTCATATTACTCATATTTCTCAAAAGCTTCATGTTTAGCCCTGTTTCTAGCGTAGACCAGAGGCATGATGATCTAAACTCAATGAACAAACATTAAGTGAATAAGTGAAGGAATATGGATATCAGGAATGGAACCAGAGATGCAGATTGGGAGAATATTCCTGCCACCTGCTCCACCTGCTATCTGTCAGTTGCCTCCCTCCAGTGTCCTCTGATCCTTCCAAGAGGGGGCACACAATGCAGTGTTGGAGTCCTAGCTAGCCAAAGAGTGGGCATTACCGAGAAGTAGGTGCTGGGGTTCACGGTGGTGTGGCACTGGGAAAATGGGCCACTGGCATCCGTCAGCTGAGAACACCAGTGCTGAGCATACTTCTCTGTGGATAGAAGAGGCCCATCAGCTGCTTATTCACCCAGGCCCCTGAGTTCCCCCCACTTGGGGTTTGTAACACCTTGCATCTCTGTGCAAACAGATATCATGGGCACTTAGCCATACTGCACACGGATGTCATTACAGCATACATGAGGCATGGGAGAGCTACAGTCATTGTTGCTCTTCTTTCCTATGTCCCCAGAGTCCTCACCCCCCAGCACTGTGAGTGGCCATCACCAGTCAAGACTTCTGGGCCAAAATACAGAGGGAAAAGGGGCAGTACCAGCTGATACTGAACCCCTCTTCCTCAACCCTACTTGGGGGGATGGACAATGTCACTACTACATTAGAGTCTGCGTCCTTTCTTTTGCCCTGAAGCAGGGTCCCTAATATCCAATACCCTGTGTACACAGTGCAGCAGATGAAGTCCTTAACCATCTGTGACTCTGCCCTGGAGATCCCTCATGTCCTCCCTGTCAGGTGGCATGCATGGATGCTGGTCACCACTCTTCCCTGGAGTACCCACACTTGTTTCACTTGTAATACTACATGGCATAAACTTCAGCAATATATTTTTCTAAAATACTGCTTGCCTTCAAGAAGACCAAATTTTTGCCAGATGCTGTAGCCAAGTTAATAAATAATAAGCCTTGTGGCCATTTAAGACAGTGTACTCAATCTGCTGTCCTACTGTGTTCTTGGCCTGTTCGAGTTTAACCTGACTTTAAGGGAACAGTATAACTGACCTTAATATGCCTTGGATTTCCTCTGTAATTAGCTTTACAACCTAAGCTAAATGTATAGTTTTAATCTTGAATTGTGTACTTCTCCATGCCCCTTACCCAGAATAATAGAAGTGTGTTATGATCATCATTTGCTGAAAGCAGCCAACAGGTAGGAAGCAGCATTAAGAAAAACAAATATCCCATAAATGTTGGCAGCAACATGCAGATACAGACTGATAAAGCCTGTGTGCAGTTTTGAGTGCTATCCTGGGTCAGCTGGAATCAGTAAAGTAACTTTTTCCTTTGTAAAACTCTACTGAAAATTTCTATGAAAAAGAATTCCTCACTCATTCCCCATACCGTATTTTCCATGCTGTTCAGTAAACATGGGGCAAAACCCTTTGTTATAGACAGGCAGCAAGGACAGGTCAAATACAATAGACAGGCCACTGGCTACAAACTACAGACAGATGGAAAACACTACCAGAGGAATGCAGGATTCCAATTCGGGCTCACTTTCAGTCAAACTATTCCAAGAGGAAGCTTCCTTCTTTCATCCCTCAATATGACATCGATGCCTTTTGGTACCCTCCCTGGGGTGTCTTCAGTGTGTGACTGACACAATGCACTACACACTAGTCTTCCTATTCACCACTTCAGGGCAGACAGCTGGACCCCAGGCCAGGTCAGAGTTTGCTGAGAAAACGCTTCTTGGAAAGTAACCAGCTCAGCAATGGAAGCAGGTAAACCAACCCCGACGCATTCAACAGAACACAGACCAACAACTAGACTCACCGTTCTCCACGCTGAGCGAGCAGGGGTCCTCGAAGTTATTCCTGATGTTAGGACAAGCCGCCTGCGTCTTGAAGGTGTTGAAGAAGGCAGCTGCTGTGCCCTCCACAACCCCACTCATGGTCTGGAAGTCATCGGCCTGGATACTGTTGAAATTCCCACAGAGCCCTGGGGACAGGAGGGCAGGGTGAGGCCCCCTGTGGGCTCTAGAATGGAATGGGCTGAGGCCCAGAGTCAGCGCCCCTTACCGCAGGTTAGACCCCTGAGCTCAGGTGCCAGCCGCACAAACACTTGCATGATGGGCACCAGCTGGATCTCCAGCTGCAGACCCAGGTTGGTCTGGGCAATGATGAAGAAGGTTGAAGGCCGGAAGAGGGTGACATTGGCTGTGGGCAGAAGATGAGGGTTTCAGGGTGGGGACGCCCCATGGGATGGAAATACACAGTTTAAATTCACAAGCAGCCCTCACCTGTAGACACCGGCAACTGGGTATAAATCTGGTTCACAAAGACCTCGCCAGTGGCTTTCACCATGACCACCTAGAAGCAATTCCAGAGTCAACTGGGGCCAGTATGGCACTGAGGCAGTGTCTCCTCAACTGTCCCCTGGTAACCCACACAGGCTGTGAAGTATGCTTGCTAGGTCTGGGAGACCCTGGGCTACAAAGCTGTAGTCCCCATGTGGTCAACTTATGTCCCAAGATCTGTCCACATACTTTCCCTGATTTTCTAAACTTTCTAAAGGATCATAGTCTAAGTAATATTAAAAACAGAAATTAATGTATACAAAATAATGTCAATTGAGTTGTACTGGATAGAGATGCTTGAATCCTCTTTCCAACTGGTACAATCACAAGAGCCCCAGAGCCAAACTCCTGCAATCTTCTGGGGAGTCCCCAGAAGGAGCCCCAAATAGTGGATGCACTCACTGTTCAGCATGTAGACATACTCTTTCCACCGCCTCCCAGAATCCCCCCTGCCCGAGCTCTCTTCAGCTCCCCTGTGATACTCACTGTCTTGCCCCCACCCAGGCTCAGTGTCACACTCTTCAGACAAGTCTCGCTGTCCGTCAGTCCGCACTTTCGAAGCTCAGCCAGCACACTGAAGATGTTGCTGTCACAGGGCTGAAGGGAGAGACCCCAGTCCTCGCACTCTGCCCAAACCCCTGTCCACCCCATCTTCACTCTCCTCCAGTCCCTGCTGCCTCCCCTTGTGGGAAATTCCTGGTCCACCATTGTCAAAGACTCTAAGAAGCAACCGTTGGATTTTAGGAGGAAGGCTCCCCATTCCCTAACAAGGGGGCTTAATACACCTACTGAGTGCAATAATTCTAAAAGGGAAGTTGAGAGGGAGGTGTAGCAGGGGGAGACTGAGGGGAGTTGGGAGGGGGAGAGGAGGTAGATGATCAAAATACATTGTATACATATATGAAATTTTCAAAAAGTAAAAGTTGTTTTGTTTTGTTTTTAAGATCAGTGGTTTCCCAAGTGGGGAGGGAGATGCTCAGGTGGAGTCTAGAGTGGCCAGCATGGTGAACTGCTGGGTGACACTAGCTAGTAATGCAGAGTACACACAGGACATTTCACACCAGTCAAATCCTGGGGCATGCTCGCGAGTGACCCTATTGGACGCTGCCGTGGATGGTAATGGCTGGCTGGTTTCCACTATCAGTCATCACCAATATGTTAACACTAAAGCAAACTGTCGGTACAGGGAGACTGCTGGGCATGGTGAGGCTTGGGAACTCGCTGGACTTTCTAGTTAATTTATTGGTGGACATAAAACTGATCCAAAAATAAAATAAGACAGGGACTGGAAAGATGGGTCGATGATGAAGTGTGTACTGCTCTTGCAAAGGGCCCAAATTCAGTGCCCAGCACCCGTAGCAGGTTGCTCCCAGCCACATGTATGTAAACTCCAGCTCTAGGGGACCTGATGCCTCTTCTGGCCTCCATGGGCACTGTGCATAGATACCCACAGAGAGACACATGCATACACATGAATAAAAATATATAAATAAAATAATACGTCTCTTTAAAAGGACAAGGTTAGAGAGGCCAAAGCAGTGAGCAGGGGTCATTCAGCACCAGAGGCTCAGTCAACAGCTGAATGACTCCATGGAGCCCTGAGCCAACTGGCAGAAGTAGTTCCTCACAGTTTCACCACGAAGTCCCCAAGGTCTCCCTGGTGCAGCAGTGACGGAGGCCTAGGCTGGTGATACCTGGGGAGGCTCACCCACCCCCAAACCAAAGGCCCCAGGACAGCAAAGGCCTCACCTTGCTCAGCACGTAGCTGCAGTCCCCATGCACTGTGTATTGCCTTTCGTCAAATGTGGAGAAGTGGGCACCCCCCAGCACTGAGCAGGTGCCAGGGCAGGGGACCTCCTGGCAGCTCCACTGACCCCCAGAGCACGTGCTATGAGTGGGAAGAAGGACATATTGTGTACTGGTCCCAGAAACAACAGTCCTGATATTTTTGCCACCTAGACTGAAGGCTCCTGCCCATGGGGCATTGGCCACAACAGCCTGGGACCTCACCAGTCCACACACCCTGAGGAAGTAACCCTGGCGTATGTCAGGCTCTTGAGTGGGAAGCCCAAGACCTACCATTTGGTGCAGTCAGTAGAGTAATTGGTACCGGGTGCATATGCGGTCCCATTGTAGAGGCAGGCACACTGGGACACAGGGACACAGCCAGTCTGGTTGATGTCGTCAAGCACCGTCCCTGAAGAAAGCAAATCCGTGTGGCAAGTGTCATCTAGAAACCTCAGTAAATCTCAGCAACACAGAGATGCCTCAGGCCAGGGTCAGAGGGATCTTTCACCAAGGCTGAACAATGGTAGCACGACCACCCATGCAACTGTGTGCTTTGGAGGTCCTGTGTTTGGATTGGTGGGGAAGAGACTCCATCTTACCCTCAGGACAGAAGCAGCCGGCAACACAGTGGTCCTCACAGACCTGGGAGCGCTGGAAGTTGGAGCAAGTGTCCACACAGGGTGAGCCACATTCCTGGTGTTGCATGTTGAGGGGGCATGTTGGAGCTGCAGGGAGACCAGAAAGATCGTATCAGGCCAGATCCTACTTACCTGTTGGATGATGCTATGATGGTGGGGAAGGGAGCTGAGAGCACTCACAGCAGAGGTCGGGACCCCGCCAGTCCTGGGGCTGTCCTCCAGCATGGGCACACTGCCGGGAGTACTCAGCCAGGGTATGGCAGACACAGCTGGACAGGTCAGGGTTCTCACAGAGACAGAGGTCCTGCCGGCAAGCCTCCAGGTAGCTGCTGGTGTCCACCAGGGCCGAGCAGTCCGAGAACAGATGACCTTTCAGGATCTCCTCACAGATGCCCTGGACAAGGGCAAGACCCATGCTGAGTTCAGACCCCTGGCTTCCCAGAAGCACCTGGGTCATCCCAGAGCCCAAAGCCCTCCTCCCCACCCTGCCCGCCCATTCCTCTCAAGGCTCACAAATCTGGTGGAGCAGTTCTTCTGGGGCACAGGGAGGGGGTCCTGGCACTGTTCTGTGGGGCCATCCATCTTCTGGAGGTTTCCAAACTCAAGAGGTGTCAATCTAACATCTGCGGGAAGTCCAGAGCAGCTCTGTCTACAGGTACCAGGCCCCCAGCCCATCATCCCAACAGCCAAGTCCAAAGGGCTCCCCACTGAGAAAGTCCATGAGGTCCTGTGATCCCTGCCTGCCTTCCCCAGCCTCGCTGCCTGGGATGCTGATATCTGGAACCTATGAGAGGAGCCCAGAAAGAGCTTGGAGTTCCTAGGGCAGCAGGAAGAGTGGGTAGAGGCCTTGACAGATGCATAGCGATCAGACGCAGCCCAGAGGACTGTAGAGTGCACCTGACACCCCATCAGCCCTCAGACTCTGGCTGACTCTGCCCACAGCCTGGCCTGACAGGGGCAGCCACATGCACAGTCAGGGTCTGTTACCCACACCTATATGGGACTTTGGGGGACTGACAGAGGAGGGCTGATGCAGCCACATTTGTGATGTCACTGCTTGGAGGTAAAGAAATGTGACCCTCCCAAGGTGAAGAAAGCAGGGATGATTCCATGTGAGGGTTTGTGTCCTCAGAATAGGGGTACCAAGAACCAGAGGCTTCCCCGCCTGCACCCATGGGGTGTGTCAGTGTCAAGAGTGTACATGCACCTGAATGTCGGTATGTGCAGGTATGTCTGTGTGCACTTATGCATGAGCTGTAATTGCGGAGAGGGAAGCCTGTGTGTGTATGTGTGCCCATGGGAACTGCGGGCATGGGTGTGTGTGTGTGTGTGTGTGTGTGTGTGTGTGTGTGTGTGTGTCAGAGACAGAGACAGACAGACAGACAGACAGACAGAGAGCATTTGTTTGTATACACATAGAGACACATGGTTTGGGATACTGGGAAACTAAGCCTCCTGGGGCCCTGGGGCATCGCCTGGGACTTACTGTGGGAGAGGAACTCGCTGGACTCTGGGCTGCCATTGAAGTCTCCACAGAGACCACAAGTCTTGTTGATATACTTGGTGTCCAACTCCAGCTGAAATTGGAGGAGACATCAGACACCTGACCCCACTGTAGACAACCAGGATGTGAAGTATAGACTCCCAAAAAAGGGGGTGAGGGCTCCCAGAGGAGACACAATCCGAAAGACTTTCCCCCTAAGTCAGATGAAGTCATGACTCAGAGCAGGGCTGAAGCAAACACCCCACGTACACAGGACCTACGTCTGGGGGTGAAGACCCCGAGGCTCTGTTGATGCCCGGATGCCCACCTTCCCCAGCTGTGTGGCCTATGCCCCCTCTCCTAACCCACCGCCCGGTCTCACTAGGAGATTCCACCCATTGCTCCCATTTAACCAGAAGGCTCTGCCCACCCACACCCATTCCGCACCACCAAGAGACTCGACTCCCTCTCACCAGGAGACTGTCATCATCATTCCACATGAAGACCAGGCCCAGCCGGGCCACCACCTTCAGGTAGCCACTGCTGAGCTCAATAAGGACCCCAGACTGGCTGAAGGGCAGCTGAACCCTGTAGAAGAGAGTAGGAATAAGGTACGGGATGGGGGCAGAGGGGGGGGATCAGGGAGACAAGAGAGACCCCAGGTGAGAAGACCCCTGCAGCCATGTGTGTGACAGAGATGTGGGACCTGGAATGTCAGTACTGAGGGTACTGAGGAGGCGCTGAAGGGGCAGCATGGGGTGAGGGAGTGTCTGCTCAGGTTCTCTCCAGAGAGTGGAGTCTTGCTAACAACCCCAGTGTCTCCCACAGCCCTGACATTCTAATTTCCCCTCACTACACAGCACCTCCATCACCCACCCAATACTGCCCCGCACTCACGGGTGGTTGTTGACTAATACGGAGCTCTTGGTCAGATCAACAACCAGGCCATCAAGCTTCATAGTGACCCTGCTCAGAGTGGTGGCGTTAGACTCCCGGCCACGGCGTAGCTGGATGTTGAAGTCCTCATAGGCAGCCCCACAGTGTGCAGAGAACACATAGTTGCAAAGGCCAGGGAAGCGGAAGACCTGGCCATCAAAGGTCTTGTAGTGGAAGTCGCCCCAGGTGCTGCACACCCGCCCGGTGTGTGCTGGGTTGAGAGCTGTGGACCAAAGCAATGGCAGGCTTTAGGGGCACTGTTCTGGTCCCTGATAGGCCCTCCATGCTCTGCCTTCCACACTGGGTATCTGTTTTCCATGTGCCACTGGGAATCAGACAGGCCGCTGCCTGCAGTGAGCATCTAAGGTCTCATCTGATTTAGGAAGTCCTGGGATCAGCTCACAGCAGTTTTAATGCCCCCCCCAACCTTTCCTATGCTATTGTCAGCCAGGAATCAGGGACCCCTTTCTAGACTAGCTCTTTAGGTCTGAGGGTGAGTACCCCAGCTAAGCAGGGCCACTTTCCCAGAGAGGCTTTGGGGTTCACTCACCTCGTACCACAGGGATGGTCCTCAGAGGTGGGATGATGGTCACCCCATGGAGTGGGGCAGCTGTGGAGACAGGGGCTTGGATCATGGGATGTACACAGCCTTGAGTGAGGTTGTGGAGTCACTGTGGCCCAGAGAAGAGGGCCCTGGGTCAGCAGAAGCAGACTCCTAGGTCTCCAGTCCAGCTTGGGTCCTACTGTCTATTGAGGTCCAGGTAGGGCATGGCCCAGCCTGAAGCCTACATACAGCATTCTCTTTTCTCACTGTCCCCTGGAGAGCCCTGGAGCCATCAGCCTTTAATGGTCACAGAGCCCAGAAACTTCTGTTTGCACCCGGGAGCGGGGGTGGCTTGTGACTTGATCCTCGCAAATGTCTGAATCTAGATCAGCAGCTCAACCTCCTTTTTAACCAGTTTGGGAAAATGCAAACTGCTATGCGCTGGCCAGTGCCCCACAAGACCCCTTGCTTGGGCGCATATGGCCAATCCCCCAGCTCCTAGGTCAAGTCTCAGACGGTGAATGTGATGCTGATATAGGTAAATCAAACCAAGAGAGATGGAGGTAGGCTCTACATGGGTGAAACATGGGCCCATGCCACAGGGGACATTGCCCACCCAGGCAGCTTGATAGACTCTCTGCATCTGCCTGAGAGCCTGAGCATAGATGCCTGTGATGTCTCCACGGGCTGGATCAGTCAGGGACAGGAGGTAGCTGACCACAGCCATGTATACCAGGTATACCTCAGCTCCAAGTTCTCACTCAGTGTGCTAGCTGAGGAGCCATTAAGGCAAGAAGTCCTGGGGGACCCTAAGTCACGTGAAGGTAGAGTTGGGGGCAGTATATGGCAGGCAGAGTGGGGACAAAAGGCTAGGACTCACCATCATGCCCTTGAAGCAGAGAGAAGTCAGAGTGATGTTCATGGTCGGATTTCAGAGTATCTTGCCGGGCCTGGCCTACGGAAGAAGAGATGGGCCTGAGCTGAGAACAGCACAGGTGCCTCAGGTCGCCTGGGCTGCTGGCCACCCGTGTGCAGATGGAGGGAGGGACATAATACATCACTGACTAATGGCCTGATGCACAGAGTCGCCATGATGGCGGGTGAATGGCCCACCCCCATACCTACACAAGAGGGTTTGAGCCAAGTTGTGACTGGCCTTCACCCTGAATCTAGTTTCCTGGTGCCTGCATCTGTTATTAGGCCAGGCTAGGAGAAACCACATCCCCAGAATACCCTCCTGTGCTACAACACCTACACCCCATGGTTTCTTGTGGGGTTATGACAGTCCAGAGAGGGTTGTGAGCTGGTAAAATTGGCACAATGGGGCACATGAGAGGGCTGAGAGCCTGCCATGACCAGTTTTGGGGGTTCTGAGACACAGCTTTCTGCTCCCCCACACGCTGGATGCCAAACCTCAATATCCCTTGCACATAGAATTACCTCCCTGCCTCTTAAGTCAGAGACCATTTGAAGTTGCCAGGCTGGGCTGCATGGCAGGACCCTCTCACAGACACTTTTAGCTTGCCAGGACCCAGACAGAGAAAACTCTGAACTTCACTCCTCACCTGAGTCCAGAGCATGGGGGGCAATGAAAATGTCTCCCCAACTGGCCTGGGAAAGCTGGACACTTTGAATCTTACCTGTGTGTTGACCGCAAGCCAGGGCCAGGGCTAGGACCCAGAATGGGACCAACTTCCTCCGGCCGACACCCATGCTGTGGAGCGTGGGGAAATGTCCCCACTGGCAGCCTCTGAGGAGGGACTCAAGTCACCAGCTGCCTTTTGTAGTCTGAGAGCTGGCTCCAGCTCCAGCGGCTTCACCTGAGTGGGTGGGGCAGGCCTATCGTTCCCCTCACCCAGGTAAACAGTGGGCACTCAGTCACTTTAGGCTGGTCAACGGCAGCAGTCAGAGGTGGGTGTGTCTGCAGGTGGAGCCTGGTTTCCCTGAGGCTCCCCAGGACCTACTTGTGTAGTCCTCCCCAAGCAGCCCCCAAGTCCTCCCCAAGCAGCCCCCAAGTCCTCCCCAAGCAGCCCCCAAGTCCTCCCCAAGCAGCCCCCCCCAGACTTTCTTCTAACCAAGCCACCTCCTAACCCATGAGTTTCTGGTACCTCAATAGACACACCTTCCAGGCTGACCAAATGCTGCCTTTGACACTTCCCCGGGGCTTGTCCTGGACAGTCATCCCCTCTTTCCTTGAAGAGGAGCTCTGTGGATAGCAACCGCCAAGCAAGCAACAGAAATACTAACCCCCAGGGCAATCCTCAGCTTCACACTCCCAAACGCATGGGTTATACTTCACGTTCCCAGACCCGAGTGGGCAGTTGCAGCAGAGGCCCCAGAGGAATTATGGATGAATGAGTGAATCAATGAGCAAATAAGTCAATGAACGAGTAAATGAGTGAGTGAATGAGTGGATTCATGTGAATAAGTGAATGAGTGAATCAATCAATGAGCAAAAGTAAATGAATGAATGAATGAATGAATGAATGAATGAATGAATGAATGAATGAATGAATAAAAAAGTGAGTAGATAATTGAGTGAATGAATGGATGGATAACTCAATCAATCAATGAGTAAGTATGGATGAATGGATGAATGAATGAATAGACATAATGAAGAGAGTAAACGAATAAGTGAAGAATGGATGACTAGATGAGTGAATGCATGGATGGGTGAGTTGAAGAATAAATGAATGAGTGGACACACAGGAAAAGATGTGGGTGGTAACGGGATGGATATATGAGTTAGGCAGGCTGGGACTTAGATACATGACACCCCCCTGCCCCAAACACCAACTGTTGCAGATCTGGAATTGGCCTTAGCACTGAACACTGAGCCTGGAGAGGGCTGAGTGAGGAGTAGCCTTGCTGGGGGGCAGGCTAAGTGGACGAGGCTAGCCATGGCTGGATGTGTGGTTGTGTGATTTGGAACCAGTTCCACTGAGGAGGCCATAAGGAGCTGCAGGTGGTAACCAGTCCCAGACTCGGGGGCATACATGACCATGGCTATGCCTTCCTCACACCCTTAGCAAGGCAGGAGGCTCCCTGGCCAACAGGGTCTATGGCCCTAGCACAAGGAAACAGGCCCAGATCACATCTTGACCCCTCAGCCCTCTGAGTTATCAGCCTGACTTTGGTGGATATCACACCTTGTGTCTGAGGCCAGGTTCATTCACAGTAAGCTGTTCCCTTGACCAGCTCACAGGCCAGACCATCAATAGGCCATGGCACACAGGATTCCAAGGCTTGCTCTGGTGACCAGGCCCATGTGACTGCCTAGTCCTGTCTTGACCATGTGGATGCTGAGCTTCCTTCCAGTTCTGGGCACTTCAACCACTGGACATCAGCTACCAGACTTGTTGGCTGTTCCCATACAAATCCAACCTGCCTGGACCCTTGGCAGGGCCCGATACTCTTCCTGAGGCTTGACCATCTCAGCACCAAGGATTCACAAATCCACCCTGTAGCGCTCCAGTGGCTTCCGGCCCCCACCTTCAGCTCACTCTGACACCTACGGGCTCCAGTCAGTCTGGCTGCTCTCTTGACCCTTCTTCCACCCTGGGATAGAGCCTGTTCAGCTTCTGATCCAGGACAGGTATGGGAGCAATGGCTGGACCTAGAAGCCAGGGTGACAAGACCTGACTTTCAGGATGCATCACGGGTGGGAACTGTGCTCAGCTGCTGGAGCCCCACTGTCCTAAAGGACATACAGTAAGGACCCTGTGCACATGGAGGCAAAGGGGGCATGGGACTAGGGCAGTGGTCCAGAAGCCTTCCTTTGCTTGGCCCCTGAGGCCACTCAGCTCTAGGGCTGGGCCTGGGCTGGGCTGGAGCCCTCCCTTCAGGAACTGATAAGTGAATGGCTCACTGCAGTGCATCAAGGAAGGGCTGGGATTATACCCCAGCTGTTGCCACGGAGTCAGGGAAATGTTAGGGACCAGAACAGGACAGAGGCCATGGCCATATTCCAGAGCATCACTGTCACACTGTTGTCTGACTGTCCCCACCTCTGGCCCCCCAGTGTGCGACAGGAAGCCAGCATCTGATAGCCCCTTGATTCTGGCAGGCTAGCCTGGTGACTCAGTGGAGATTAAGACCCATCCAGCTGGAACACTTTGGGATCAGCCCCACAGTAAGGCAAGAAATAGCCAGTTTGGACAGCCTAGAGAACTGAAGGTCGAGACTCCATGACCCTTACACAAAGACCCCTCACCTGCAAGTCTAGCCCTGCCTTGGAGGATGCTTTGAGTTCCCCATGGGCAGTATGCTCACGACAGCTCCCTTCCTACCTGGAGCAGAAACTGCTAGGAGTTTCCTTGCCTTAGACAAAGCCACCCACTTAACATTAAGGTATCATACCCATTCTACTGGCCTCCTGCCTCCCCCAGCCCAGCCACAGCCTGACTCTCAGCCCAGCCTGTCACTGGTCCGTATGAGCTGGGTAGGGCCTCAGATCTCAGTGTCTGGAGCTCCAGGGCTGGCATTCCCCCACTGCCCACATTTTCCCCTTCCAGTTTCTAGGTGTAGTCCTGAGGCCCTCAGACCATCCTGGCTCTACCCAGAGAAGTCCATGTCCCCTGAAGCAACGTGCAGACCTGAGATCCCTCAGTCTTCTTACTCCTTCCCAAAGGTGAGTGGTTAAGGACTCTTCCTGGGAAGCCAGGGGTGCACTTTGCCATAGGGTTTACTTCCTGGGCAGAAGATGGCATCCTGTATTATGTGGCCCTGGACTAGCCCATCATCCTCTCCATGCCTCAGAGTCTTCATCTGTAGGAGCTGCTTCCCAGTGAACTACCAGCCCAATAGTGAACTGAGTCTCACTCGGCACAGGATTCTCCACCCTTGCTCCTGGTCTCTGGGAAAGGGCTCAGTGGCAGTTCCCTTCTGTGCTCCCTGAGGAGGGGGGCGCCCCCCACTTCCTAGAGACTTGAGGCTAATCAAGGGATTCAAAAGTGTTCCTGCTTCCTCATTCACAAAGCAGGGCGGCACTTCCTAGCCTGTCATTTTGGACACATACGCGCAATCAATCACGGTGCATAAAAACGCAACTGACGTTATGATCCTGATGGCTTCCCATGCAGTTCTATCCCATAGTCACGTAATGCATGGGTGCCCTGGGGGCCTGGGGCTAGGCTGATCCCACTGACAAATCCAGTTTTGATTGCAAAGCTGGCATTTGAGGGGGGAACTGTATCTCCTTGTTTGATTGGGCTTTGTGGGGGCTTCCAGCTAAAGACTGACAGTCCATTCTTCAGAAGGGGCGGAAAGGACGTGGCACCAACTGTGGAAGGGGACAACCCTCGCGTGGCTGAGCAGTCCCGCCGCTTTCAGGAACTACCTCAGGTGTTGACAGAAGGGGCAGGCTGCCCAGTGGGTCTTTAGCAAGCCAGGAACTTCCTTGATAAGGGAGAAAAGCATCTTAAATTTCTCCAGGTGTATTTGGGGGGGCCCAAGGGAGAGATAGGGTGAAGCAATGACCATGGGAATGTTGCTTCGCCCTGCCCGGAAGGAACTGAGAGCTGACCTAGCCTGCCTGGGGCCAGGAACTGCACCCCAACATCAGAGGTAAAAGGAATAGCGTCAATTTGATTTTGTGGCGGGGCTGCCCTGATTCGGAGCATTCCTGTGCTTGTTTGTTTCTCTGAATCATTAGGCAAACAGAATTCCTCCCAAGATCTGGCTGGGCAGCTGAAGGAAGTCCTAACCCCTCTGGTTCTGGTACTAGCCAAAGGGCCAGTTCTTGGGCAGTGCCCACAGTAAGGACCCCTTAGATGGCTGCTGAAAGTGGCCAACACCAGCCTCCCACATGGCTGGTGCTCCCCAACACCAACTTCTACTTGCCTAGTCTGGGAGTACGTTGGGCTTTCTCCTACTGTTCCTGGGAGTTGAACCTCTCTTGCCCTACAGCCCTTCATCCCTCCCTCTTTCAGTCTCTGGTCACCTCATCTCCTGGGCCCCAAGCAGCTTTAATGTATCCCCTAGAGAGCATGAACCTGAAGGTAGGTTTGGGGACAGATAAGATCCTGAGGCAGAATACCAGGCCCAAATCCTCCTCTGGGGCCATCACTCAGCCAGTCAGTCCAACCCTGAGAGCCACTGGGTCTGTGACAGTCAAATGGACTCTGTCAGACCATCCCATGGTCACCCCTCCACGGTGCTTCTCCCCAACTCTGGATCACCTCTTACTGAGCCTCAGGGGAGAGAAGGGAATATTCCCTTACTGGCTGCTCAGGACCAGGCCCCAACCAGACCACTGGGACATGGATAGTAGCTCTGACCCTTTGGACAGAAAAGGAGCATGCTTTTAAGTTGCGTTCTACACAACAGGATCTGTAGGACATTTTCCTCAATAATTCGTCACATCCAGGGGCTAAGAAGATTACTCAGTCAGTAGCATCCATACCAGGAAAGCATGAAGACCTGATGTTTGAATCTTCTGCCTCCTCATTAAAAAAAAAAAAAGACTGGAAACATACAGAACACCAGCACTGTGGAATCAATAACTAATAGAATCAATGACTCTAAAATCAGTAAGAGACCCTGTCTCAGAAACTAAGCTTCATAATGATTGAAGAAGACACTTAAAAGCAACCTGTGGCCTCCACACACACACACACACACACACACACACACACACACACACACACACACACCACATCCAATGAAATTTATAGTCATAGAAAAGTATGGCTCTGGATACACACTCAGAACAA